GTTGCAGCTCTTCCACCAACCAAGGACGTTGGCAACAACCGCCAACCTTCAGCGAACGTGGCCACTGCCTTTTGCAAGACAAAACCATCATAGCTCCACCTAGAGAAGAGAGGATTCCAAAAAAATGTTAGAGCCTAGTACTAGGGGCGCTGATTTCAATTGACCTAGTCGATCTGTTTACTATAACTTGTAGGGATGAGAAGGCATGAGCCAGAAGAGATAAGTGATGGAAACAAGACACACATCTAAAGTCCATAATCTTGATAACTCGAGAGAAACAACTCACTCACGCTCGAAAAATTGAAATCTTCAACAACGAACGCTGCCTAGGTTTCAGAAGCTCTACGTAGACATCGGTGTTATCACCTCATTCCTCAGTTCGATAACAGGTAAAGAGGCCCATACTTGGTTCCCATCAAGGAGTACTTCAGGCGGCTGAAATGCCTGCATGATGAGCTCAGAAAAAAATTGATAGAACCCTCATTTCATAGATGTTCAGCTTACGAGATGCTCAAGATCCGCAACTTTTGCTTCTCTGAGGCTCCACTCTCTGACCATAAAGTTTTCATCGTTGTCACCAACTAAACGTGTATCACAGACCCTGAAATGATGTGGATGAACAGAAAATATCGGTGTGGAGAATTCTGAAGATAGCTTTTAGACGAATCAACTGGACAACGAATTAACAAAGAAGCGCCTCAAAACTCAGTTAAAGAACCCCGATGGCGCTCGTCAACGCGCGCCATTCTACAATTGATTTTAGAGATCATTCGTCTTCGAGGCGAATTCTGAACGCACTCTCAAGGAGAACATCCAGTCTTGTACGCTGTGGATGCTGAGGCGTGTCAGGTGACTCGGTTTGGCACAGTGCCAGCCCGTTTTCCACCAATTCTTCTTGCTTGCTCCACTTCAACAACTGGTGGAGAATGGCTGGAGCCGCGCCAAACCTTGCCCGTCTCCCACGCTCCACCATCCGCAGCAAAGAAAACTCTTATACGCTGCTCCGAAGCATGCTATGTTGGTCCGTTAGCAAAAAGACAGTGACAAAGGGAGCTATCTCTAATTAGCGATGGGATCTTATGACATTGTGGCGGAGCTAACTATCGAATGTATTCAGGCATAGAAATTGCATTTGACTTTGTCTGTCCTTGAGATGCACAACCTGTTTTGCTTCAAAGAACAGAGCTCATAACAGCTTAAGAAGATAGGTAGCCCAAGCTGGAGGGTTGAATGTATCCTAACAAGCAAACGGCTGTAAATTTTGTCATTCATAGCAAACGTGAAAAAGGGAACGATTCGAGTTGCTATCCATAAACGTGTCCAATTGGTCTTTGAACCGTTTCATAGACTGACACAAATAAACGGCTGCGTATTTGTAATAGTGCAGTTCACTACGAACGGTGGGGCGTGTCAGGCAGGATGAGTTTGGCGCGGTGCCAAACCCGTTCTCCACCAGCTGTTAGAACGAGCAAGTGACAAGACTGTATAACGTCGTTCGTATCACACCATATCGTTTCCCAACAACTGTTGTCGCACACATGCTTCAACAACTTGGCAGAGAACGGGTTTTTCACCTGGCACACTCATATTGCCTGACACGCCCCACGTCCGCAGTGAATTTCAGTAGGTAGCGATTACTTGAGCGAAGGTATCGAAAAGAAGCTACGTGCTGCCCCAAGTTCATCAGAAAGTGTCCAGATTATATTGCTGAAAGTAATAGAACTTTATTACAGTTTTCACAACATCTTCTCCCCTTTCCTAGCCTTCGTTACAGCGCCTTCTCTTGTATATAACGCTCATCACTGGCCACTACTGTGATACAGCGAACCGGTGCTTCCCAACTTGAAGGCCAGTCTTCAGAACACAATCCGTGATCCTCCTCTGATAGGCTCATGTGCAGAGGATATACCACTTTCGCAGCTTAAAAGTGAGTGATGAAGGCATCGAGGGGGGAGGGGGAAATGCGTGACAACTGAACTGACCAATAGCATCACCAGAGACAAGCGCCACCGGCGAAGGCGAAGAGTCAGCCATCTCATTCATCTTTTTATCCTCTCATCCATTGTCTCCAGTGCGCTGGCGGTGACAGTATCTCTTTGGCTCTCGCTTTTCGCGCTCTCGTCAACTGTCCCAAAGTAATAGTAAAAACAAGGGCTCCAGCTGAAGAGCAGTGCAGTCTGCGATGGCGCAAGACCAACTTGAGAACAAAAAGGCGAACATACCCCAATACAAACTCCCATCCAGCAATTTCTGGAGATACATGCAAGTCTCGACCTTCAGGCATTCCAAGGAATAAAACAAGTGACTTTAAATCATGACAGCCGTCTCCAGATATTTTCTTGATCTTAATATAAGCGATGGCTTCAAGGGTTTCTTATTTCTTATTACCCTCAAAGGCCCTGGGGGGGG